CCATACCTCTTCAGTATTGTACTTGAAGTTCCAGCTAAAGCAATATGACAACAAAAATAGATCAAGGGGATACAAATTGGAAAGGAAGAGGTCAAACTTTCACTATTTGCAGATGATATGATAGTTTACATAAATGACCCAAAGAATTCTACCAGGGAACTCTTACAGCTGATTAACACCTTCAGCAAAGTGGCAGACTACAAGATCAACTCAAGAAAATCAGTAGCCCTCCTATATACAGATGATAAAAGGGCTGAGAAAGAAATCAGAGAAACATCACCCTTTATAAAACCACAAACAATATAAAACACCTTGGGGTAATGCTAACCAAACAAGTGAAAGACCTGTATAGCAAGAACTTTGAGTTATTAAAGAAAGCCAAATTAAAGAAGACACCAGAAGGTGAAAAGATCTCCAATGCTCTTTGATAGGTAGAATCAACATAATAAAAATGGCAATCTTCCTGCCGGGCGGTGGTGGCGCATGCCTTTAATCCCAGCACTCGGGAGGCAGAGGCAGGGGGATCTCTGTGAGTTCGAGCCTGGGCTGGATCAATAGCCTCCAAAACAATACAGAGAAACCCTGTCTCGTAAAAACCAAAAAAAAAAAAATGGAAATCTTCCTAAAAGCAATTTACAGATTTAACCCAATCCCCATTAAAATCCCAGCACAAATCTTCACAGACCTCTAAAGAACAATAATCAACTTTGCATGGAAAAACAAAAGACCCAGGATAGCCAAAACAGCGTTATTCAACAAAACAACATCTGGAGACATCTCCATCCCTGACTTCAAGCTCTATTATAGAGCTGTAGTCCTGAAAACAGCTTGGTATTGGCACAAAAATAGACAGGTAGCCCAATGGAATCAAATTGAACACCCTGATATTAATCCATACATGTATGAATATCTGATCTTTGTCAAAGAAACTAAAAATATACAGTGGAATCAAGAAAGCCTCTTCAGCAAATGGTGCAGGCATAACTGGATGCTGGCATGTAGAAGAATGTGGATAGATCCATGTCTATCGCCATGCACAAAACTTAAGTCCAAATGGATCAAAGACCTCAACATAAATCTAGTCACACTGAACCTGTTAGAAGAGAAAGTGGGAGGTACCCTTGAAGGAATTGGTACAGGAGACTGATTCCTAAACATAACACCAGTGGCACAGTGAGGCCAACAATTAATAAATGGGACCTCCTGAAACTGAGAAGCTTCTGTAAGGTAAAGAACACAGTCAGCAAGACAAAAAGGCAGTCCACAGAATGGGAAAAGATATTCAGTAACTCCACATCTGACAGAGGGCTGGTCTCCAAAATTTACAAAGAACTCAAGAAGCAAGTCTCCAAAACACCAAGGATTCGATCAAAAAATGGGGTACAGAACTAAATTGAGAATTTTCAATAGAGGAGAATAAAATGGCTGAGAGACACTTGAGAAAGTGCACAACATCCCTAGCCATCAGGGAAATGCAAATCAAAACAACTCTGAGATACCATCTTATTCCTGTCAGAATGGCTAAAATCAAAAACACCAAGGACAGTTTATGCTGGAGAGGATGTGGAGAAAGGGGAACACTCCTCCACTGCTTGTGGGAGTGCTGACTTGTACAGCCACTTTGAAAAATCAGTATGGAGATTCCTCAGAAAAATGAGAACCAGTCTACCACAAGACCTAGAAATTCCACTTTTAGGCATATACCCAAAAGATGCACATTCATACAACAAGGATGTCTGTTCCATGATGTTCATAGCAGCATTATTTGTAATAGCCAGAACCTGGAAGCAACCTAGATGCCCCTCAGCTGAAGAGTGGATAGAGAAAATGTGGTACGTTTACACAATGAAGTACTATTCAGCAGAAAAAAACAATGGAATCTTGAAATTTTCAGGCAAATGGATGACACTAGAAGAAACCATACTGGGTGAGGTAACCCAGTCACCCAGCTGGGATTGACTGTGAAACAAGATTGTTCCTAACCTAAATAAAAAATAATTAAAAAAAGAGTTGCCATGCTTATGGCATCTCTTCACAAGAATATGAAACCCTAAGACATTACCCTTCGCCTAGTGAAACTCAACACTGTGCCTTGCTTAGCAACTCTCAGAGCAGTCTGGTAAATGTAACAGGCACTGAGCGAGAGGCCCTGGAGCACCCACCACAAAACAAGCCTGGGTTAAGCATGGCTGGTTGGTTCACACCTGAAAATCTTAACTGATCAAAGTACAGACAATTTCCACGGCCACATGAACATGTGTGGTAGTAGGGATGGGTAGGAATGCCCAGAAAGTTTAGCCAGCACTGCAGAGGATCACAGAGAAAACAGAAGAACAAGAGAAAATAAAGCTTGGGGTTTGCATACGTTAGTGTTAGAATTTAGCCACAGTTTGAAGCTCACGTGTGCCCAGTGAACATACAGGCTTGCCTTAGAAACAGGATCCGAGGTGGAATAGAGCTAAGGGGGGGGGGGTCCATGACGACATAGCCGGGCATTGCACTTGAAGCAATGAACTGGATACTGTGAATGCATCAGGGTCCAGCTTGGCATAAAGAACAAAGGCATGAGATCCAGAAGAAAAACTGCTGCATTTTTGTGGATGCCCGGAACCACTTCCAGGTGGAAACCCAAGGCCCTAGAGCAGCCAAGAGTGACAATCCAATGGAATTGCTCTTTCGACTTTGTGTTCCTATGTGTCTCCACTTAGTTACTACCTATTTATCCTCTTTTGTTAGAGCGGCAATCTGAGCAGTCTTCTGGACCGATGTCAAACACCTTCCTTTAAGCTGTGCTAAGCTTCTTCAGAAGTGTATGTGCTGTGTGGATTCTTCAGAAGTGTATGCGTGTGGATGACCCCCAGAGTTTCTACTGACCCCTACTGTTCTCAGAGCCAGGCACCATCTTACTGAGCTCTGGAATGACAGGAAAGTTAAGTGCAATGATCATCGCTTCCAGTGGAAGTTGGAAACCATAATATTGAGCATCCAGGCAGCATGGTGGACAGTCTGACCACCTGAGCACACTCAGTTGAGCTTCAGGTGGTTGAAACAGTTAACTTCAGACAATTTACAACGCAGAGTGAAAACTGAGGCTGGCAACCAAGGGAATCTTTCAAAATAGCCAAGAGAGAACAGTGTCATTCCTAGAACAAAGAAATGGGAAATGTCTGAAGAGGAGAATGCAGTTAGTTACACTGTTCAACACCATACACAGTCCGCACATGTAGCGAAATGTCATGCAGTGATCCAAAAATATATACAATTCCTATATGTGAAGTAAAAATAAAAAAGCCTAGCATGATGGTTCATGCCTTTAGTCCCAGCACTCAGGAGGCAGAGGAAGACAAAGCTCTGTGAGTTTTAGGCCAGTCATCCAGGCATACATGGTGAGACTCTATTTCCAAAAAAAAATAATTCCAATCCCATTACAAGAAGGAAGTAGAAGAAAGTTGTGTGATGTCAGAGCCATGTTCCACAGCAACTCTGAGAAGATGAACTTAGAGTGAGCCACAGGAACAATCTGAAATCACAGGAGAAACCCATGATTGATGCTCAGGAGGATGAAATGGGACTATCTCCACCACTTATGCCATTTTATTTTATTTTTTTCAAAGGCCTCTTTTTTGTGTGTGGTCTTTTTACTGTAGCAATAGATACAGACATTGACAAGTCAAAAATAAGACTTCATTTCTGAGGATACAATGTAAATAAGCAGGTCCCTGATGGGGAAGTAGAACTCCAGAGTGCTAGGACTTATTATTATTATTATTATTGTTGTTGCTGTTGTTGTTGTTGTTATCATCATTATTATTGTTGCTGTTGTTGTTATATTCTGGAAATGGGTGGACACTGAACATTTTCAAGCTTAAAGTTGGCATGCCCTGCAGGAAACTAAAGACTGAATTTCCAAGAGGCAGAGCGAGCATCGAGGAAGAAAACTTTTACCTCAAAAACAGAACAATTGCTATGCGGGGAAGTTGTTAGACTGAACGCAAATACTTCAAAACAGGGAACACTTCTAGCCAATAAAAGGTGCAAGTCAAGCTACCTTAGTTTGGACACAACAACTGGGCAGTTGTGTTGGATGCATGGTGAATATGACATGGTTGGGCAAGGGAAACTGTTGCAACCTGGTTCTGCCAAGAAAAGGGACAGTCGTTTGTCATTAGACCGTTAGGGTAGACTGTGTTGGGTAGACTGTCAATGTGACGGCTGGCAGTCATGGGGAAGAGAATCTTAATGATAAATTTTCTGGTCATGTTGGTCTGTGGGCATGTCTATACAGGATTGTCTTAACTGCTAATGTAAGAAGACCCAGCCCACTGTGGGCAGCACCATTCTCTAGGCAAGGGGTTCGGAACAGTATTAAAAACCGTCTGGAGGAAACAAATACAACAATGTTTGCAACAAAAAGCAAACAAAAAGAAGGAAAAGAAAAGGAAACATTCACATTTTAAGCATAATATATAAAACGAATACATACACATAAATATATAAATACAACCTGCTGAATCTGGACTCCCCTGATCATCAGCTCTAAAAGGGGATTTCTCATGCCTGGTACTGAGGTTTTCATTAGACAGTCTATGGCTCTTGTAGGGAGGATTGTTAGCCCCAGTGGCTTAACTTCAATTAAACTGTTTATGTATCTGCACGCACTTAAATGTATTATATGGAACTTGGGGTGCATAAAAGGTAATTACGATTCCTTATGGCTTTTCCAATATCCTTTGTGTTATTTTCCCTCCTTCCCATTCCTTGCATTCCTGTAAGGTTTTAAATATACTAAAATTCCTGAGTGGCTAGGGGAATCCCACCATCAGTGCCCTGCAGAAAACAGTCAGACACAGATGGTGGATACAGACAAAAGGAGCCCTTATCCAATGGCTGGTAGGAATACAAACTAGTCGGCTCACTGCAGAAATCAGTACGGATTAGCCCAAAAGGAACTAATAACAGAGCCAGCGTGTGATACCGCTAGACCAGTCCTCTGTATTTACCCAAAGGACGCCATTACCAAGTATCAGTGATCCTTGCACATTGATGTTCATTGCAGCACTATTCCCAATATCTAACGGGTATTCTAGAACAAAGAGACAGAGAAAGAAATTGGGGCATATTTGCACAGTGAGTTCTGCCATAAGGAACACATTTGTGTCATTCACACGAAATGAACCTTAGTCACATGCTGCTTGCAAAAATGGCTATAAAATCACCTTTGTCTCCACATGATGCATTAAATCAGACACTCTTCATTTTAAATTTTTTAAATGTGGATGCCAATAAACAATCTACTACAGACAGATTCTGCCATGATGGAACTCAGTGACTTTTGCTCTGATCAGATAAAAACATCCATACACTAGACAGTGGAAAAGACCCAATTTGGGGTGGAGGGAATGTTTGTGTTCTTTTTTTTTTACAGGAAAAGAACAAAGCTCGGTGGCTACCAGTACATTTGGTAAAATACATGGAGCAGAGAAAAACCAAAACCAGGGAAGCCTACCCAAGCCAGTTGCAGTGAAACATGCTGAACCAGTATTGCAGACTGCACAGCCCTCTCCCCCGCCCAGTTTCTAAATTCCTTCAACCCAACCTCACCTCGGCAACCTCACTCTCTTCCTGGATACTAACTGCTCCACTTTTCTGATCCCTGAGAACGGTGGACCTGTCAAGATGGCCTTCCACCTACATTTACTCACTACTTCTAAATTCTGCCCCTATGTTTTATGGCTTAGAAATAGGAATTAGGCTGGCTCTAAAATTGGTTTTCAGCCTCACTCTTGCTTACCACCTTAATCCCTTCCATTTTTGGATGCCTTGCTCACATTTGGCCCTTGGGCCATCAAGAGGTTAAATGACTTTATCAGCCAACAGATCGACTCCCTGACAGCAAAACCTACCCAAACTCATTATCACAGGCTTGACCTCAAGTATTGAGGACCGTGGCCTTCAGAAGGTGACAACCCACAATCAAGGGGGTCACTTCACAGGGAGACCTCCTTCTGCTAGTGACAAAATTAAAATGTCTCCCACCGAGGTGCACCCTATGAGTGCAATGAAGAGGCTGCTTAAAGGTGCCTATCCTGAGCTTCATGGGAGTGTACCTGGTTGCATGAAGGTCACTGTCAAAAACCCTTCCCTCCACAAAAGGGCATCGTGATGGGCCTAAGCAAGCTTGCCTGCAAAGGCTGGGTTAGCATGTTCCAGGATATATGTCACAATACCATACAAGAGGACCAGAATCCATGGGATAATGCCAATAGCTCACCTTCTTACTTGGAAAAAAAAGGGGGAGGAATTGTTGGGAGCGACCATTGTTGTTTAGAACCTCTTGTAAATAATGTCAGTCTTTTTTTTTAAGAATAATCCATCCCCTCCCCAGACCCCTATGAGTAAAACCTGGGCTCACAGGAATAGCTGATAGACAATAATACTCATCATACGATGTCATCTCCAATGACGGGGAGAGGCCTTTAAACACCCCTGGTCTATTAGACCCCCTTACCTAAGACAGGCACGGCTCCCTCATGGATATCTCCACCCATGGCCTTTTTATTTCGTACCTGTAAGGGCCCTAACATAAGGGCGACATCGTAAAAAGCCATCTTAATACTCCCACTAAGATCCTAACAACTAACTGCCTATTCCTCTACCAACTTGCAGAACTATAGTCCCTTCATTAATAAAAAATAAGAGAAAAGATGTTGGGGACCAGGTCACTGGATTTATTTCTTGCCCTAAGGCACTTCCCAAAACTCAAGCACCTTCCCACAGATGGCACAGTGCCATAGAGATAACCCATCGCTTAACAATACTTCCTTAACACCTATACTCCCTGGTGAGATCGCCGGCCCATCCCATATCAAATGCTCCCTGCCCCTAACAGCTCCCTGCCTCATTTCTCAGCCTCTCTGGTCTAACAATCTCCGCCCCATGGCCAATGCCACATTCCCCTATTTAAGCCTGTACAGAATTCTCATTAAACACAGCTTGATCGGAAGGTCTGTCTTGCTGCCCATCTCTCTCCTGTCTCTTGTCTCATTCATTCCAGGTTCCCGTGGGCTAGAACCCATAGTGCCCTGCTGGTCAGGGCACCTCCCTACCTCCTCTCCCCTCTGGATCCACCCGCTTTTCATTTGAAAAGAACAGGATTCTAGGAGAAAGCAGCCAAATGTAACAAAATAACATATAGTAAGAGGAAGCAGAAAACTATCATATGGAAGTTGGACTCAGCAACCCAACAGGAGGAAAACAGTCCCAAGAGTAGGCCCACGAGTCAGAGACCCCCTTGTTCTCATAGTTGGGAGTCCCATAAAAATTCTAAGCTAATAACTATAATATATACACAGAGGACCTGGTGCCGACCCACATAAGCCCTATGCTTGCTACTCCGTCTCTGCGAGTTCCTATGAGCTCTGCTTAGTTGATTCAGAGGGCCTTGTTCTCCTGATGTGCTCCACCCTCTCTGGCTCTCATGAGCTTTCCACTTTCTCTTCTGAGGGATTACCTGAGTTCTGAATGGGGGATTCGAGGGAGAAATGCCATATCCAACACTTCTTGGGTAACCAAGAACCAGAGAAGAGATAGCCCATAGACCTAAGGCAAAACTAAACACTACTGGTCAAAACAAAAAACAAACAAACAAACAGACAAAAAATCAATGAGATGATTCCTAAAGGTATTTTGCTATACTTATACATCAGTGCCTTATCCAGCGATTACCAGAGAGGCTACTCTTGCACAGCAATAGAAACCCCAACTAAGACATCAGGCAATATCTTTGCAAATCTCCTATCTGCTCAAATGACCAGACTTGCCATGTCTCCGTCTCTGTTTAAAGTGTTGGGAGTGTATCCTAGAACACCATATCAGAGATCCCAAGCTTTGTTGTAAGTCACTTAGTGATGTCCGCACTCACATATTTTAAAAATCTATGGTTTATAACACAATTTCACCCTGTAGCTATAAAAGCTCCCTGATCAGTTATCACTTTGGAACATGGCAATTGAAACCACATCACTCCATGCTCCCGGTCACGCTCATCATACTGGCCAAAGTCACCGCCTCCTCTCTGAAATGGCAGCTGCGTTTTCACCTCTACCCTCTACAGAAAACATCACCGAGTTCGGGCAGAAAGAAACGTCAAGGAAAGATGAGTATGTCTGTTAGGCGGCACCATTATCTGAGGCCTCATTATTGGGTTTTTAGTCTCACCGATAAAGCGATTTAAACAGACAGACATAGAAGGGAGCACCAGGAAGACAATGTATCGGCCTTCGAGGCTAAAACACCAGGCAGGCGAATAGTAATTGTTTGGTCACAATTTGGGCCCCCTAAAACTGCAGTGCTGCCAACAACATCCTAAGATGACTCCAGTGCCCAAACCAGGCTGGATTCTACTGGGGAAACAGTAGGACTGTTATCAGGTAAATAGACACTTAAACATAGCACCCATCAGGAATCCCAAGGTTACTTCTCTTCTCTACCCACAACAGTCAACACCACTGAGCAAAGGGCATCTAGTTCCTGATTAACCTAAAAGTCTGCATCAGATCCAAGTCCCTACACTAACCCCTGGGGCTGCTCTAGGTTGTAGAGCTCATCCCTTTGATACCCACCCTCGTGAAACTGATAAGGTGCTCCTGCTGCTCTCTGTCCTTGTGAGTCACCCAGGTGGTTTGTCCCCGGTGATTTCTTTTTCTATCTACAGAGTAGTCTAGTTCTAGCTTCTCTGCACTCGCCAATGGTAATCTCAGTAGCTGCTAAGAGGAGGTAATGGAGAAGAGAGAGAAAGTTGCCTTTTAGAATTAGGTTCCAAGAAAGCCAGGGTGTTCAGGAAAAGACGCAGGTGGGCAGCTGTCTATGGAAGAAGAGGAGGGCTTCAGAGAAAGAGTGGGGAGTCTGAGGGTCAGTGACAGCAAGCATCAGCTCTTGACCAGTAATCAAACGAGAGAAGGAAAAAGAAAAAAAAAACATATTTAGTGTGGAGCCATGGACATGAGTTCAGGGGGCATCCATGTTCTTGTGTGTCCAGACTACAGACTACACCAGAGTTAGAAATACACATAGAAACAGTTTGTGAAGAAAGGGAGCAGACGCTGGGTGGTGGTGGAGGTGACGGCAGCAGCGCATGACTTTAATCCCTGCACTTGGGAGGCAGAGGCAGGCGGATCTGTGAGTCTGAGGCCAGCCTGGTCTACAGAGCAAGTTCCAGGACAGTCAGGACTGTTATAGAGAGAAATGTTGTCTTGGAAAATGGGGGGGAGGGAGGGAGGGAGGGAGGGAGGGAGGAAGAGAGGGAGGGAGGAAGAGAGGGAGGGAAGAAGAGAGAGACAAAGAGACAGAGACAGAGACAGAGAGAGACAGAGAGTCTTACACAGCACCCTCATTTCCTATTTGAGCACGGACTATTAAAGTCTATTTTCAGTAAGCCGCGATGTTACAAGGGAGCCCAGGCGCCCAGCCTTTCTCTGCCAACTGTCTGCCCGTGTTAATGTTTCCCGTTTCCATCTCCAGTGCACACTCCCCTACTACAGCTACAGTCCCCACATTGAACTTTTAGGAATTTCAACAGCAGCACATTTATGGAATGCTTACTCTTGCTAGCTGCAACTCCAGATACTTATTATCCCTTTTTTTCCCAGTCCTAACAATTGTACATATTTATGGGGTGACATGTGACAATCCGACGCTGTGCTCTCCAATAGTCTCTTACTGATCATTGGCTCGATGCTGAGGAAGGCTAGAGTATAGTCCTGTGATCCAGCAATTCTTCTCTCAATGGGGTCAAGCCAGGGAAAGAGGAAAATAGGTCCTGTACCTCTGGTCTACGTGTTCGGGTGATCTGAAACCCTCCTTCTAGTTATTTCCAATGGGAATCCTTGCTGACCTGTGGGCTCCATGCCTTTCAGTACAAATCAACAGGAAAGTCCAAAGCAAGAGCTAAATTCATCTTAGTACAGTGCTCTCTTGCTCTTCATCCACCGTAGCTACCAGAGCTCATCGCAGTGGGGTCTACAGGCCTCCCTGAGCCCAGGGGTCTGCGCTTGTTACCTTAATATAACTAGCAAGGTCTTGGCAATGTGAAGCTATTCAGGAGACACTGTTTCAGACAATGAATGTTAAGGAGCCTGTACTAATATCTTTCTTGATCTCACACAGCTGAGTTCCATGGCCATGCTAACATCCATGGTTCATCAGTGTTCTCTAGAGTACAATTGTAGCAAGAGGTGGAGTTCTCAGCATAGAACCAGACAGAAGGCTGAGTGGTTCCTCTTGCTCGCCCTTTCTTTGAGCAACTCCTTATATACGTAACATAGTACTGGCTGTGTGCTACTTTAAGGTGGCAAAATGAACAAATAGAAATAATTATAATTTGCAGTCAGTTTTGCATAAAAACATATGTGTTTTACGTATAGTGCTTTGGGTCTCACCTGAGTCCAACAGCAATACCTTAATGTGCAGTTTTCTGTGTATAGCTGTGACCCACAGTCCCTCCAGGCTTTTTATTCCTCTACAGCCTTTGGCCTAGACAAACTGCCTTGGCCCTACTGAGGAAGCTCTGAGGCCTCTTAGAGAAAGGGACCATAACAACTCTTTTCTATCCATCATTAGCCGTTAGGGGTGAACTAGAAATGTTAAAAGAAGCAGCTGAGGTATTCTTAGCACAAAGGTCAGAAGGCATTGTGGAGGGAAGCCAGGGAAAGCTCCTTTCCTCTGGAGGCTCCTTGGGGCCCTCCACTGGCCTCTCTGTTCTCTGTTTTGTTTAGCTGTAGGTATGGGGCACAGGGCTTGTGATGACTTCCCTATAAGCTAGCTTCAACTTATGTCTAAACATAGATGGGTTTTTAGTCAAAACCGAAGCTGGGAAGTGGTATCAGTAACTAGATCATATCTAGGTTTCCTCAAATTCTTATTTGAAATCAAGCAGAGGAACCAGGATAATTTAAAAAATCCATACACAGTATCGATAAAAGCAAACCAACATGAAGGGACCACAACACCTCATAGTATCAGCCTGTCCCTAGCATCCATTTAAGCACTGTATATTGGACATCAGTGTTGGGACAATGCAACGCAATACTGAAGTTCCCAGGTTCCCATATACCTGGCAATGTCAACTTGCCTGGAGAAGCCCCTGTCTACTCTATAGCACAAGTGGAGGCAGGGTTGCCCACACATCACAACAAGACTGCTTGGATTGTGAACGGACACTGCAGAGCATTCTAGGGATCTAGAGACACATGACATCCACACTTGGAGGGTCAGGGACACAGAACTGGATGCCAGCCTTGAACGTGTGCAGACTCCATGCATTTGCCAGCTCTATCTAAACTCTACAGAGTTCAAGAAACTGTGGGCACCTTTTACCAGGGCCCACTTCTGGTGATGCTGAAGAAAACTCCAAGTCATAGAATTTGCTAATATATTTGCTTAGGAGACATTACAATCACACAAGGAACACTGCCTCTGGGATAACCCCAGAGATAATTAGTCTGCTATTCAGGCTTGTTACAGAGAGGTGTAAGATACAAGGATGCAAGTGTTTACTCAGCAGGACTGG